ATATAATTAGATAAGCATTTTTAAAAAAAAGTAGAACTGAAAAATAGAGATTTGTGTATACATATACATGTACTAAATGGAATTTTAAGAATTATCCGAACTTGTTCAGTACTATGAAGTCGTTCAAAAATTTCAATTTCTCTCGAGTATATATGGAATTTTCTTTCAACATGTTATAGACATCGGCTCAATTAAAATGATATAGAAACCATCCATTTCTTTTTGTTTATAATGTCGGATATATCAACAACAAAATTTGATAAAAAGTTTTTTGATGATTGAAGATGATATGAAATGATTGAGACAGAGTATACATGTACGTGCAAAATATTGAATAATTTTTAGCATAATAAAGTCATTTCTTTGATGAACATGAACCCGTATACATTCATATGAAATCAACAGTGTTCAAGTTATTCCCTCGATAATTATTATCATGGCCATGATCTAAATAAAAAATCTTTATTACAATACACCGATGCAATCTTAGAATTAATGCGTTTTATATTAAAAAGTCTGTTTCTCAAAGTCCCAGAATCAAGAAGCTTTCTGGAACCCCACCAAGGTATTTCCCTGTACCCACTGGAACCCTTAAGATACCCCCAAAAACCCCAGATACCAGATCTCCCGATAATTTTGGTCACACTTTGGCTGGCTATTCCAGTGAGAATGTAAAATTCAAATATTATGTTATATTTTGGAGGGAACTTGATTGTGAAATAAACATGTAAAATTGGATGTCTGTTCAAAACTTTTAAATGTAATTTTCTTCTCCGCGCCTGCTACGTCGAGTATGAAAAAAATTGAAGGTAGTTTGTCGTACTTATGTTTAAGCACTCGTAATGTTGTTTCATGTTCTCAGCTTCCCGACAAGGTACTTTTATCTTTAAATCAAAGGCTGTATGTCTACAAACAATTACTGAAACAATATCACACATCTTTTTTTATGACGCCATTAACCGCTCTGACAGAAGAGCTAGGTTCACTTTATGCATAAATTGGCCCTGTCCATAATTCAATTAATACACTATCACCCTCTGTCCCATTTCATATACCAAAATAAAGTAGAGACTTAGAGCTCTTATTTCCTATAACAAAATTTCTTTTTGAGAATCCAGGTATTGGAAAACAGGCTTTGTGAAAATGCAATGTTCTTGAATTTTGCAGAAAATAGGGGTATTTGACTACATTCAGCAAAGAATTAAAATACGAGGACAATCCTCGATCCAAAAATTAAAACATGTTTTATGATCTTCAGACACAGATCTTTCCTTATGTAATTGCATATTTTAGATCAGAGGTTGTGCTCTATGTAAAATATTGAAAAAAAGAAATACTTCAACTTTTGGCAATTTTTAACAGAATTTACATGATATGGTAAAATGACGTATTTCATGACGTCATAATGCATTGACTAGAGAGAAAATTATGTCATGTTCAATAGATACACGTTCACCAAGAGTCCAAGTGATAAATACTGCATTGTCAACCAAAACTGAGCATTTTTGATTTATCAGAAATTCACGGGGCCAAAAAAGGCCCTAAATGGCTTTTGCTCTTTCATTTTCTTAATTTACAGATTGTGCACTCAGTAACATGCATGTATCTATATAAAGATACAAGATTATAAAAAAAATTCCTATCTTTTAAATACCTCTGTTTTCTATTTGTCGTTGAGAATTTGCTGTTTAATTTATAAAATGAAATAAGCTATCGGGAAAAGGAGCAAAAAATATTCTCAGAAAAAAGTGTTGGGGGGGGGGGTCCCCCTACCATGTGTTTGTGTACACATTATATACTTTTATAACTCGTACAAAGAACGAAATATGATTATGGAGTTCAACAAAATACATTCATATTATTCAAATTACTTTTTTGACACGTTCCCTTAAGTGAAAAGTCTGCAGTCCTAAGTCATTTGTCGGGTGTCTGAGATTCCGAAAATGTTCAATAGCAACTTACCCAAGACATTGACCCGAAGTCAGTTGTGTTCGTATACATGTAAAAAGAAACAACAAAAGACAAAGCTGTGGGTTTTCCCTAAAATCCATGAAAACAGTTTGATTTTATAAAAGAAATATAGCAAACAAATGGCGTTTAACATGTAATTAAATATGATTAATCCTAATACGAGGAAATTTTTAATAATTAAGCCTTTCCGGGAAAAAAATCAGTACCTCGATTTGATGAGGTTGAAATAAATTTAAGCTTTATTATGAATTAATTCCTGTACATCCTCTTTGAAGTATATATTATAAATGGTGCACGTTTTTTAGGGTAACAGTTGAAATTGACACCCCAAGGAAAACCATTGTCAACCGACGCGTCAGCGGAGGTTGACAATGGTTTTCCGAGGGGTGTTAATTTCAACTGTTACCCTCAAAAACGTGCACTATTTATTTTATTATACTGAATGTCATATTGATTTCGATGTCATAAAAAATTCGGAGATCGTCGTAAAGTTCAAGCTTAAAAAGCTTTCAAACTCCCCACTTCTATTTTTCCTCAATAAGAAAACTTCGGGAAAAAATTACCAACCTCTTAATTGTTTGTTTGCTACTCAAAAAGTCCTTTATCATCTAAAGTTTGCACTCGCATGGATGTTTCGTCTGTTGTTTGTTGTTTTCAAGTAAGCTACATCGGACACAAGCTTTTATTGACGTCGTTTATTCGGCTTCTTTCAAACGCACAACTGACGTTTAGAGAATTCTACGATGAACCGTACGCGCATGATTTGAACGCATGTGACATTTTCGTAATGTTACCCGTTGTCAAGTGTGTTGCTAACGCTGAGGGTAACATTACGGATTGTTAAAAGCGTCTAAACCAATCAGATTTTAGTATTTAACATAAAAGTATAATATATATATATATATATATATATATATATATATATATATATATATATATATATATATATATATATATATATATATATATATATATATATATATATATATATACCCTGCCGACAACACTTACCGAGACACGAGATCTCAGTTTTCAGGAGAATGACATTTTATTGTTAAGAATGATAACAAGTGTTATGAACATTTATAAACTTTATTATACATGCGTTTCAACTAAATACAAAATGGATTAATATATGATTTTGACACTGTTATTTGCTCATTTACATTCAAATACTTATAACAAGCTGAAATCTGTATGACGTACATGCGTACCGTATTTTACATGATCATCATGACGCAAAGTCCTATGTACATATTATTTCACGTCAGTTGCAGTTACATAGCATTTTGTTAAAAATGAAATTACTTTGAATCCACTTAAGCGAACACAATATTTTTTTCAACGTTAATGAACATACCCGTATGCAATATTGAATCCTATTAACTTCATAATTCAAACATTCACAACAACTAAATCACATAATTTATACATAAAGAATTTAAATTAACAAACGCCTAGATTTGCACAGATATTTTTACAAGACAAATGCGGACTACTGCATTGTTAATGCCATTTAATTTTTTTACTATTATTTTCGGAAGGAGGCCGGTCATGTCTGACGAACAAACACCTTGTCTTCTTTACAACTTCTCACAATCCTTATAGATTTAGAAGCTATGTCTTGATGCAGTGGGTGTTTAGCATGACATACCGTATAACGGGTATTTTCTGCGGTTGGAAATTTTTGCGATTTTACTCCAAAGAGGTAGCAAATTATTGTCTGCGTTTTCAATTTCTGCGGTTGTTTTATACCGCAAAAATTTATTTATGGGGTGTGATCACTAAACTATGAATTACCAGAACCCTGCCATGTTTACCTTTTATAAATTCATTAATACATATTGATTGAAGGTGCATGAGAACTGGTATTAAGCTGAATTAGACAACTGTCTTTTAATTAGTCTTTGTAAAATATTTCGAGTCCCAATTGAAATGAATTAATGCAGTATCAGTCCCCAAAACAACAATAAAAATCTTTATTCTAACAGACGTCTTATGCGATCTATTGAAATATATAAATACGATAGATAATGATAATAAATGCATCCAAGCCATCTTCTTAAAAACACTCTTAGTTAATTACCATCAAAATTAAATTATTGTTTGTATTTTAAGCTAGAACAAACAGCTGCATAATTTAGTACCCTAAAGTTGACGGTTAACAAACACAGGTAAATGTACCATGTGCATCGAGGCGTAACTAATCCTGTCAGTCGTCTGCATTGAGTGAAATTAACGAGACAATCAAGCCGCATTGTGTATACAAGCAGTAATTATTGTCTCAAGATAAAACACAAGATTGAAAAAAGTGTTAAAAAAAGGAAAAAGGAAAGCTATCATGTGTTGTTTGCAGCTATCGGAGTTTGGACTAATAATTGCGAAATAGGTACAAGAAAAGATACTTATTCAATAGATATTATTTACAGGAAATTTGTGATTCAATGTTTTGAACAAATCCTGACATTTAAAATCTTCGAATTTCGATGACACCCGAATTTTCTCGCTAACGAGGACGTTTCAATTCATGAGTCCGCGGACGCATCGTTTTTAAAAACCTTGCGTTCCAAATAATTTTTATGCGTCTGGAACGCATTAATGAGAACCTTCTCAAACATACGCACCACTTATCTTAATTGCAAGTATAAAATATCTGAATAAATATTGAAAAATATTTTGCGATTGTAATTTTTGCGGATTTTTCCTATCCGCAAAATTCCGCAAAAATTGGACAACGGCAGAAAATACCCGTTATACGGTATTTAAATTTTCTAATTGATGACCTGGTTACGCAATGACTCAAAGAAATAGTGTCCTTCTTAGTAAACAGACCGTAAAGAGAAATACGCTGGCAGCAGTTCTGTAATAAAATGTGTATCAGGTATTTAAAGACAATATATATGCATAAAATAAGATATTGCAAATATTAAATGAGAGAGAGAGAGAGAGAGAGAGAGCGAGAGAGAGAGATGCTTTACCGCGAACTTGATGATGCATGAATTTTTCCCTCAATTTTTGTCTTCTGTGTTTTTCTGTTCCTTTGTGTCATCTCATAGCATGATGGATCTAATACCCCCCAAAAAAACTATTTGAAAAATACGTGGGTAGATAAATAGACAAAAGGATATTTATTGTTTGAGATAAACTGACACAGGTTAGTACCAACTGCTCATATAACAGAAAAACAGATATAAATGAGTTAATTCTTACATTTATAAGCCTCAGCTGAATTATAACTCGTTGGACAAGGTGGGGAATGCTGTTTACAGTCTGCATCGTAATTATCCTGAATGACCGCTCCGTGTATATTAAACTCGGCGCAAAAACCTAGGTTAATATAAACAGTAATTGTAAAACTTTTTCGTAAAATTTAGATTTGTTTTCTTTTGAATTCGGCTACAACATGTTTTTATTTTGGTTGGAAAGTTGTTGAATGGGTAATTATGTTTTGATATCTGAAAATGAATGAATAATCAAAGAAATTAAAATGATAACTTTAGGAAAAAAAAAATATATTTGTTGTGCTGGTTGATTCATATGTGCTACATATTTTATAAAGTACAATATTCATCCAAGGGGTTTAAATTCCCCATGGTACTTGGAATGTTGTGTATGTCTGTACATTTCCAGGTTTTGAAAATAGCTGGAGTTAGGGCTCTTAAAATCCAATTTATCCATTTAGAGATATTAATTATCAGACATTGAAAACATAATTCTCGTTAGGAGCTTAGGATGAATGGGATGGGGTGGATGTTAGGTAGCCAATCTGTCATACGTACCTAATATTGTACGATTAAGTGCACATACTTCCATAGTTGCGTTTCGCCAAGCGTTTATTACACAATGGTATTGAAAAATGTAATTTTGAATCTTGAAAGAGGATTCCATGGATTCTGCACATGACTGAGTAATAGACCCACAATTTAATTTTTCTGCTGCTTTCGCCCATGACTCCTCATCCTCTGGACATTTTGCAACATATCGCATGGTTGATATAGAAATCGCACATGCTCCAAATGTAGCAACCTGTTTAAAAGAGCATCACTTAACTGTGCTATCTTTTTTTTTTGAAATGCTCAGAATTGATTGATTGATTGTATGTTGTTTAACGTCCCGTTCGAGAATTTTTTACTCATATAGAGATGTCACCATATACCGGTGAAGGGCTTCAAATTTGGACCTTTATTTGTCACACAGGGCCTTTTAGCTGTGAGGGTTTTTTATCGAGCCAACGCCTACCATGACACGGGGCCTCGGTTTTTAAGGTCTCATCCGAAGGACCCGGAATTTTCACTTCAAAGTACCGAGCGCTTGGCGAAGGAACAATTGCTACTATTTTTTATCGACTTAGGTCAGCAGCGGCCGTGATTCGAACACATGACCTTCCGATCACGGAGAGAGTGCTAAGAATTGAAAAATGAATTCAAATTCACCTCTTTTTAACAGTGGAAATATGGTTGAAATACTACCGAGTCGGCGTTAAACAATAGACAATCATTCAGATTAAATTTATCCTTAAAGCGCATAAAAATGAAATAATTTGTGTAATAGGCATATCCATGTACTTTCTGGGATAGTCATTTTAAATCCATGGGTTTGAACATTAATTAATCATATGCCATAAAAAGTTAGGAATCCAGTGAAGAACGTGGATCAGTAGCATGCACATGAATGATATTCTTTTCTTTTGAATTAGAAAAATGATCAAGTAAGGGAAACAAACTAAAAAGATATACCGTTTCTTACCTTTGCTATACACAAAACCGTTATAATAAGAGTTGACAAAAGTCGATTTCTTATCATTTTACACCTTCTTGCAAGTGAGCGTTGAATTTCAGCTAAAAATGATATCAATAATTTATAGAAATACTTTAAAATACTGTAAAACACATTTACGAATACAATATAAATCAATGTTAAAAAAATCAGTATACCTTTACAAGAGCTGTATAAGAAATTTTAAGCTAAAAATTTTCATTGTGTATAAATAGAATTTAAAAATCCCCTTTACAAAGGCTGAGAAATATACCTGTAGTTATCTAAATATAAACACTGATAATTTTCAATCATACTACACGGTCGCAATTGTGTATTTACTTCAAGCTGAGTAATTTATTGCGGTCATGGTGTCTTCTGGTAAAAAAAAAAAATAATAGATTTCATGTATCGAACTTTACAATAGCTCTATTTAATCTAATAGGTTTTTAATCTTTAGGTCACTTGAGTCACTCAGGCGACCTATTGCTATCTGTTTTCGTCCGTCATCGTGCATCGTGCGTCGTCATTCGTTCGTAAACATCTCAATATTTTCAGCTTCTTCCCAGAAACATTAAACCAATAGGAACTAATTTTTGAAGATAAAATCTATGACTGAAGTGAAAAAAAATTGGAATTTCATGGTATTTGCCCCCATCGGGCCTGAGGGGTGGGCATCAAAATCAATTGAATCTTTAAAAGATCTTCTTCTTTACTCCCGGACTACAAGCAGTCAAACTGTTGGCAAGATTTTAATAAGCATTGACCCTCTACCAGTATTGTGATATTCATTGTCTCTGGGTCATGGGTTCTGGAGTTAGGATGGGACTCTAATGATCATAAGAGAAAATGCATTAACACTTAAAAAATCTTCTTTTCTCCCCATGTACATATAAAACATATAAATTAGGTGCATTGTTATGATGACGAAGGGTTCCTTTTCCAAAATTGTGAAACTTGTTGCCCCAGGGTCAGGAGTTCTTTGAGGGGTTGATTGATTATATAAAGAAAGTGCATTATTTCTTTGAAAATTTTCTTCTTTGCTCCTGGGTATTAAACAAACAAACTAAGTGCAAATTAATAATGAGCAGGGGTACCTCTTCCAAAATTGTGAATTTCATGGCACTTTGGTCGAGGATTCTGGTGTTAGGGTGGTGCTGTATTGGTTATATATATTGATAATGCATTAATTCATATAAAATCTCCTCTCCTCTTCACATGTCACAGTAGCCTAGTGGTACATGTAGGGCGCTCGCTTCGTGATCGGGAGGCCCGGGCTCGATTATCGTTCGCCGCGCCGCGTCAAACCTAAGACGTAAACACAGATAGTGATTGTTCCTTCGCCAAGCATCCGGCACTAGAAGTGGAAGTCAGGGGTCTTTGGGATGAGACCTTAAAAACCGAGGTCCCGTGTCACGGTAGGCGTTTGCACGATAAAGAACCCTCACTGCTCAATGGCCCTAAGTGCCGAGTATAGGTCTAAATTTGAAGCCCTTCACTGGCATACGGTGGCGTCTCTATATGAGTAAAAGATTCTCGAATGGGACTTTACACGACATGCAATCAATCTTCACAATTTGAGTTTTATGCGTAACTTCTTTTTTTTACTTTATTATTATTGTAGATGAAAACATTATGTGATATCGATAAATAATGTTTTTATTTGCTAAACTGAATTTGTTCTGTCTGCAACAATTGAAACTTGATAAAAAGACTCTTCGGAGTTATATATTATCATAGACTCCGTCGCCCGAGTCGCGGAGTAAGGAGTTGATCCTTACATCGAGGGTTCGAATCCCGCATGCAGCTATCCTCAATATGAGTGAAAAATTCTCAAAGGGACGTGAAACAAATAAACATTACTTCCTCAGTTTCCTTTCTATTATCCTTCATCATTCGTTTTCCTCTTTAAGTGTACGTCTTTGTTCCATCATTAGCATTCCTTCTTTCCTTTCTTCTTTTTCCGCAAACCTCAAATTTCTCCTGATCCGTGATATGTTGATTGTGTTCGCTCTATTTTAGCAATTACACGATGAACAAATTTTGATCCAAATATCACTTTAAATTAAAACAAAATTAAATCATAATTACAAGTGTATGCTCTATGTACAACAACAACAACAACAACAACAACAAAAAACTTATAACGAGGCAAGATATTGAAAAAAAAATATATGTTGACGATATAAGGATAACTATAGTCTCGTTCAAATTAGATATTTTCCAAATTCTATGGTCGATACAATGACCTTGTCAGCAAATACAATCTATCAAGTCGAATGTTGACTGACGTTTTTCATACAAGTTCTTAGGCCATTATTTTCACGTTTGCCAGATCATGACAAGAAGTGGGTGTGACCGGTCGATGGGATGCTAACTCCTCCATGGCACCTGACCTGTTTTTAGAGGTCCTTGTTTGCTCTATCCTCAATTTGCAATGTTCAATGGACTTTGGGCTTGAATATTGTTCGTCATCTTCATATTCATATGCAATAAGCAAAAATATAAAAAGACTGAAGGGACAAAGGAAACTCCTGAAGCACATTTGATGAAGAAAAGTACTTTGGATATCGTGTGTCTTGGACAAAAAATTTCTTATGAACTGGAGATAAAAGCGAAATGATAAGGATACTGTTGGTGGAAAACATAGCCATTATGTAGATAAGTAAAAAGATCAGATAATGTATGGGAACTTTATAGAATGAGATAAAAGATTATCTGTATTCTAAAAATATTATGAAACATGTAACTTAGCGTATATGTAACTTAGCGTGGTAGTTTAATAACTTCCTTGAAAAAAAAAACACGATTCATTCGAATAGTTTTATTTGGAATAAAAGGAAACATGACCATTTTAGAGTGAAAATTAAACAATAGTTCAGGAGTATGTTGAATCGCATACATATGCAATATTTCATAAGTGTTATTGTTTTCCAGATCTATATTTTTACCGTATCAGGCGCATACAATAAATGTGAAGGGTAATTTTTTTTTTTTTTTTTTTTTTTAGAATTACTGGTGTTGAGTGTTTATATATGAATCAGAGTAATATATTTTTTTCTTGCTCAAGATTCAAACATTCTGCATTTTACAGGAAACCATATAATTGCTGTGGTGGATACATGTGGGACGCAGTTAAAAAGAACTGTACAAGTAAGTGTCTTTTATTTTTTTCTTTTGCAAAAAAAAGTCTTTGTATATCATATTTGCTGTCATGTGATTATCAAATTGCGTGCGTAACGTCAAATGCATTTAGGTTTATCACGTCTCAATTTTGTCTTTTATTTACAAGAAAAACATCATATTCAAATTATTTTAATTGTCTTGCTATATATATATATATATATATATATATATATATATATATATATATATATATATATATATATATATATATATATATATATATATATATATATATATATATATATTGTATTTCTATCATTTATTTTCTGTCATTTTGCATTTTCTATGAAATTCATTAACACCTCAAATGTTTGAGCCATAAAAGTGTATTTTAGGGCTTTTATCATACTATTAATTTTTTGATATGATTTGAAAATGTGTCAAATGTCTTGGTTATCAGTTACTCTGTAGTAGTTAAAGGAGGATACAAATGATATTCCCTGTAATAAATCAATAAATGAAGAAATTAATCGCATAATTATTTTTAAACTTTACAAGAATAAAGACATAAGAGGCTAAAAAATTGTTCTTAAATTACTAATAAAGTTCGACACAAAGTAGAATAGTAGTTAAATTAAAAAAAAAAGTCGGAATTTTAACATAAGGAATAATATTATGAATTAAAGCTACGAGAGAATGCAACCCAAAATTCAAATCTAATTTCATGAACATTGCGAAGTAAAATATACAGTATTTTATTGGTGGCGGGGAAATGAAATTACAATAAGAAATTTCCTCTCGACAACTTTCCGTCGACATATTATTGCAATTCTTTATAACTAGCAAAAATTTATTTATTCCTCATTCCTGTTTGCAGAATGTAATAAAGGTTATTATGGACAAAATTGTTCTAGTTCCTGTCCATCTGGCACCTATGGATGGGGGTGTCAGTCAACGTGTAGCTGTAACAAAGATGTTTGCAACCATGTAAATGGTTGTGGGTTAAAGAACGGTAAATTTTGTAAGATATTTTCATTCATACTTTCTTTCTTTCTTTATATATATATATATATTATATATATATATATATATATTATTGCTTTACATTGATTTCCAGAGAGTACTGCTTCCTCAA